CAAATATTTGATATCCTGCGCAGTAGTCTGCAACCGTTTTCTTGGCGTTTTCCACTAAATATTCCCTCAACCGAGGCAGGATTTGTGTGGTTTGTGAACATGTGTATTTGACAACTTCGCGGCGCTTTTCGTTCTGCACATGGAATGTAGATCACATATGAACAATCGTTTTGGTGGCAAACATTATTTCGTGAACGTAAAACGTAAAAATCCACAAAATATCTGGTATTTACAGTCCTGCTTCTGTTTTACACCACGGCGTGTCTGTTACCAAAAATAATAATAAAATATTACCAGAGATATTGTCACTGATGGACGAACGCTAAAGAAATGTTACATGCATCAAAACCTGTGTCTCACACGTGTGCAAGCTTCGTGGAAATTGGGGCAAACCGATTGAACGTTTGCGACTTTTGATTAAATAGGCGATAAGAATAATGAATTCTGCATTCTGTTTACTCACCAGCCGAGGCTATTGCGTGTGAGCAAACGTTACAGTGCGGTTAGTCTCAGGCGTTTTCTGTTAAAGCTAAGTTCATGTTATCAGCTTTTAGCCCCAAAATTGCTGGCCTTAATTTTCACTGCCTAGTGCAGAGTCGAAATCTCCTAGCCCCGGGCAACTTGTGTCAGTGATGGGTGATAATTATAACCAGGAAATTAACCCTGCTGACATCATTTGTCTAGACGACGGTTTTGGATATCGCGGAAGCTGAATTGATGCCACAATGCTATCATTCTAGCCAACCCTCGGAGTATTCGAATTCATAGTTGCCGCGGTTGTCTTTAAACTCTGTTGTAAATCAAACAGCGCATTGATTTCCTGAGTTCCTTTTAAATAAACTGCATAGCTTAGGTTATGTGGAAGTATTGCTAAGCTACGCCATTTGATCGCAAACCTTCCATCACCACTCGTGGTATCATCATCATCAGGCTCACAAGTTCGCTTGACACACTGGCACCACGTGCGTGGGTAACAGGCAACTTCGCTTTATTGAGTGGAAGATCTGTTCAATTACCATTGTCAGAAAATCAGTACTGACGGTAAACGTGATGTATACAAATCCACGCTAGCCCCATCATTCTATGCATTTTCTNNNCTACTTCCTGATAGCAATGAACATCAAGGGTGCATCCAATGTAGACATTAAGTGCACAATTCGCGGAGTCCGAGCACGAGTGATCCATGATTTCCATGAAAACATTCACCACACCGTTCTTGTGCGATCAAAATTAGTGATACGCAAGAACATGTAAGACCCATTCATTTTTCACCTGCTCATCCATTCACCTATCTCCACGGCGCGATACCCATATTCCAGCCAGAGCCAATCAAACATAGATTTCTAATCGAGCGGATTAGCTTTACAATTAACCCGTGGATGCCGTTGAAAAGTAGAACGGATGTTAGCATAAGGTAAATATTCGTGTGTGATGTTCACAGACATTTACCCGACTACCTCTCCACTGGCATTCTAATTTGCTCAGCCGCGACGCATTTGTAGGGCTCAGTTATCCGATTTTTGCACAATTCCCTAATTATTAACCATAGACCACATCTACAGAAAAAGGCAACACGCATTAAAAGAGATTATAAATGATTTATACCCTCTAAGTTCATCAGCTCAATTGTC